AAGGCAAAATATACATGTTGTGATCACTGAAAATTCCACTCCTTTTTTTTTTTTTTTTTGTAGTTCCATTGGTTATCCTCGTGATTTAGATAATTGTTCGTGCCGGATTTTTATTACCTTTAAGTAAAATAATTATTTGAATTACCCATCTACAACACTGCTACGACTTTATGAAAAACTGGAATATCTTTACAAATAATTTAAAAAAAACACGAGATTTAGAAGGGGTTTGAAATGTTAAAAATTTACTGACTATTTACTATTATCAAATTATCTGGAGAGAATCTTTTTTTTTTATTGCTTCTTCGTATAGTTGAATTGGGTTTCAATACTCATGGTGAGCATCTGCACAAATAGTCCATTGTGTAGCTTTAAGCTTAGCAACTAACAAGGAGGTATTTGAAATTTTTCTATCTAAGATTTACTGCTACAATTTATTTAAGTTATTGTAAGCTCAACGCCAATTTGTATATGTGTAAATGGAACTCGTTGGCCTTCAGTTGTGTGGAAATTCTGACTAGCCTATCAACATCCTGCAACAATACACCTATCGGCCAAACTTACAACTTACGAACTATAATTAATAAGAATTTATAGTACATAAAATCACTATGTATTTAATTGTTTATTTGTTTTGGAGCAAAGCCTCATTGCACTATTTGCTGTGCCCACTGCGGGGAATCCAATCCCCGATTTTAGCGTTGTAAGTCTGTAAATTGACCATTGTCCACGGGGGATATATATTTAATACTTGTAGCATTAAACGTCACCATTGTAGCTTGGTCATTAAATGACACTCAATATCATTAATTACTAGCGTTGTTCATATAAATATTACTTTTTGCAAGAGTAATTTGCGACGCAGATAACGGACTAAAGGTATCTTCTTTAATATCTTGGAAACTATGTGATTATGAGTTTAAGTTCAGGCATTATTGTTGTGGTTGAAAAAACTACTCGTAGGGTCGAGCGTGACCCAATGGTTAGTATGTCGGACTCTGAATCTCTGGGTCTGGAGTTCACGTCTACTTACCACACAAAAATCACGCTCCACACATTAGAGGTATTACAGGGGTGACTGTAAAATTCTACCATTTGATTAGTTAGCCCAAGAATTGGCGGTTGGTGCTGTTGATTAGCTGCCTTTCCTCTAGTTTATCAATTATAAATTAGAAACGACTAGCACATATAAGCCTGCGTAGCTTTACGCAAATTTTCGAAAAACAAACAAGCCATAACTAGCATAGATTATAGTTTTGTATTGATACCCCAGATTTTTTCTGAATTTTCATGCAGACTCTGGATGTATTAGTGAATTCTCAGTAAACCGGATTTACGAAGGTCATAATCTTGTACTGATCCTCTTGGTTAGGAACAAGTTACATACTACAGCAGCTATTCCATAAAAGCTTGTACCTGCTTGGCCCTGTTTCTGTGTCTTACACTCTGTTGTAAAGTTAAGCTCATTTCAAGGGAAAATATAGAGAATAGTACAAGTTAATAGGATTTGAGCGTTCTCTCTCTTCCATATGTTTATTTAGAATTATATTCAACGTATCTTACATTAGGATTGTGGGATACTGTACTAGGAGCCTGGTCCGTCTTGAAAATGTGGCATATTTGTTGTTACTTGTTCTGTATAGACATTTATTATTCTATCTTTGCCCTTTGTCGTGCGCAAAAGTTTGTGGTATTCTTAGATGCATAGATTTAACTTTAACTATTCGGATAGAAGCTGCAGAATAACTGGAAGTTTCCATAAAATGTTCTATGGAGAAGAATCTAAGTTTTTCTCAACGTTGACTGAATCAGAAACAACAAAAGAAGATGGCTATAATGTATCACAAAGTGAAATAATCTCGATTTCTAACACTCAAAAACAACACTCAGAGTTTTATAGGGCAAGTGTAGTTTGACACGTCTACAGAGTGTGTTATTACAGTGATTCAATACCTGCAGTAATCAGAACAACGATTTCTTCATTCATCTTGCTCCAAACTCAGAAAACATTGCATTATGTAGATGCTATAACAACGCAATACTTCTCAGGCAGCAACATGACTGATGGGCACTCTCGCTGCAAAACAAGAGATGTATCTCTAGGGCATCATCTGACTTACCACTGTCACTCACTATTCAATATGCGTTATGTTACAGAACTTTTTCCTACGAGTTTCCCCATTAAGTAACTCATGAGGGACTTAGTAACTCCCTTGACCGACATTCTATATTAATAACACATGCTCAATATGTATAGAAGGTTTGGAAATATACGGTAAACTTCCATACCACAACCACTCTCTTCGCCCCAACGGTCAGTTAGTGTCTAAACTGTAAATAAAGAGATGGTCAGTTGAATAAAGGTTTTTTGCATTTTGTTCCAAGGTACGGCTTTTAAAGTAAGTAAGATTTGTATTTAGAACAGGTACGATGTTTCGATCACTGGTGCGATCATTTTTATTTACACAAGTTATAACGGTAAAGAACGATTTATTATTTAAATTGACATTCAACAATCTAACAGTGCATTTAACTTCTAGAACTGGTAGTGTTTTTTTTATGCATGTACGTATCAATGCGCGTGAATTGACAGATTATTTATATATGACTAAACAGAAAAAAAGAATAAGTTTTAGACCTGTTCTTTCTTAGGAACAATGAAGACATTGTAATTCAAAGAGTCGATAAAGGAAACTCGATCGTGATTTTACCAACAAAACAATACGATTCCTTAATGGTAAATTGAATGATGCATCTAAGTTTACTCAGTCAAGTACTGACCTTAACCCAAAATACAACAAAAAATTGAGCAGACTACTCAAAATATTTTTAAAAGAAAAACTATTACCTTTAAACTCTATATTTTTTTACATAAAAACCAACCTAGAACACCAAACATTTGCGTTTTACCAAAAGTCCATAAAAGCCCAATAACCTTAGGCCTAATTATGTCTTCTTGTAACTCTTTAAACTACAACCTTGATAAATGATTTAAATGGATTTCAGAACTTTGTGTTTCCAAAACTAACTCAATTAAAAAACGCTTCACACCTTCTACAACAATTACATAGTTTAGATAGTAACGTCATTATGTCTAGCTTTGATGTCTTAATTAAACCTATTCCATCAAGCCCCTTGTCATGAGGCAATACAACTTACTGCTTGTTTGTTTGTTTGTAATTAAGCTCAAAGCTACACAATGGGCTATCTGTTCTCTGCCCACCACGGATACCGAAACCCGGATTTTAGCGTTGTAAGTCCGCAGACATAACGCTGTGCCACTGGGGGGCACACCTTACTGCAGAAAATATTTCACAAGACCCCAAAAAGAGAATGAACATAAAACAGGAACAGCCGTATTTATTTACTTTCAGTACAGAGATCCGTACTTCCTTCACTTACATGAACTTGCCATGGGAAATCAGTTATCACATAAAACAGGAACAGCCGTATTTATTTACTTTCAGTACAGAGATCCGTACTTCCTTCAGTTACATGAACTTGCCATGGGGAATCAGTTATCACATAAAACAGGAACATATTCTTGTATATAAGACCGCCAAGAAGTGACGGCAACAATGGAATTGAATTACAGACAGAGATAGAGACAGACAATTGAGTCAAGCGCGTGAATCGTTCG